GTATAGAAATATCTAATTACCTAAAATGACTGTAATTAATTTTAATGATGTACTAGATTAATTATTATATCGAAATTGATTAACAAGCTGGATGACAATGGCACCAACAAATGAATTACCTGGGTGATATGTCGCAACCCTGTTGCATGAATGCTGCTAAAGCGAACCAAAGGCTGTTGATAATACTGAAATCGTTTGCCATGCTGGAAGTCGGCATGTGAGGAGATCCTTGCGATCCATGGGGGTGTTGCAACGTGGGATCATTTCTCCCTGCCATTGTCGAGTCCGCACTACTGCTGAGAGTCAGCACTCTCCATTCATAGGGCGAGAATCTGTTCAAAACGTCCAGTCTTAACTTTCATATATTTTATATTCATTAAAATTTATTAGAATTCATTTTCATGCTGGGGTATTTTTCTACGAGCACCGAACGAAACTTTTCATACACATAGAAAGAAAAGTCACGAATTTGTAAATATTGGTTGTTTCGCTATCGAGAACGGTAAAATTGTTCGCCGAGATGGTGAATGATTAAACGCTGGGACGATCATTAGGAGTCCGTATTCGGAGAAATCACGCGAGATAGGGAACAGGTAAATAGCTCGAGTGTGGCTGAAATAGAAGCACCGACGATTTATCGCGCGGCTGCTTGCCCGGTAATGTTGCAGCTGGATCGCGATAAATGTACGCGTAATTGTCGCGAGTCCACACGTAACCGTTGCGCTAACGGAGGCGGTAAACAAAGCCAGCCAGGATAATTAACCATCGAGAGAGGAAAAGGCTAAGGGGAAGGTAATGTCGTATGCGGCTAGAGAGTGGCATTGAGTCCACCGATCAATCACGGAGACGGAAATTTCTCTGACAATAAATTACTACCTCCTCGTCATGTTCGTTCTAATTTGCGTTACCGTTCCGTTCGTTTAAAAGTGTATTAGTATGCAGTGCCTCGAATGAGTATTGACATTTACAATTTAACATAATTGCATCCTTTCGTATGAAGTATTCCTCGTTAATTACAAATTTTGCTTATGGGAAATAATACACAAATAATGTAAATGAAATATACAATAATTAATTTACAAATACTTAGCACAATATGAAATGTATAAAAGAAAATGACTTAATTGTAAGATAAGATTTGATTATAATGTGGCGAGATTATTGTCCGCGGTCCAGTTTCCTGGCTCTTGTGCTATGTTGGATGATCTTTACTGCTGTGCTTCAGTGCCAGAAGGCAAGTCTACTGACCTAGCCCAGTGTCTCTTTTTCCAGCCTTACTTCTACGAGAGTCAGAGGAATCGCGAGTAATAAATGATATGTATCAATACAACGTTGTATGAGACGATTCGGAGGATTTATAACTTTTGCTTATACTCTTAAGTGGCTTAAGAAGCTCGCCGCAGCTTATGAAATTAGCAAATCTGTATTTTCGTGAACTATATTCTCGATTAAAATAATAAAGATAATAATGTAATTAATAAATTGCAAGTAGAAATGCCTAAGCGAATCTGGGTCTGACTACATATTGACTGTAACTACTGAATCAGCCAAGGAATAAGCAAAACTTTTGTTTACCTGGATACGGTAAAGAGAACGATGGATACACCGATGTATGAGAAGATCACGCAGACCCAAATTTCTTTGCTCAATGGATTCAAAAAGCTGAACACCCCTGGCTTCTGTTTAATCGGTTTCTTGATCATGATGCTAATTCCCAGTGACATAAACGGTTTACTGAAGTCGATCACTCGCTCACGTTCCGAAGTGATTGTCATGGGAGCAATTGCGATGTCTGCTTCCTAAGAAAGGATTGATCAGTTGAACAATCATAAAATTAGATTATAACGTGAAACAGTATTGTTAGATTTTATTAAGCTCTCTTAATAAAGTAAAACAATTTTATTTCAGCCTATAATTGTTTATGGGAAATAATAAAATTTCCACATCTTCTTTCGTTTCTTTCCTAGTTTACCCACCAGATATGGTTCAAATTGTGAATCAAAAGCTTGCAAGCTCGAGACACCTAGTGGG